AAGAAAGAAAGAAAGAAAGAAAGAAAGAAAGAAAGAAAGAAAGCCACCACACAAGGGTGAATTTTAACCAAAAGCCAGCATGGTGTAGTGGTTTGAACCTAGAGCCTTGCACTAGGACTCTTGAGATCAGGGTTTGAATCCTGGTTCTGCCATGTAAACCCACTGGGTGATCTTAGGCAAGTCACACACTCTCAGCCTCAGAGGATGGCAATGTCAAACATCCTCTTGAATAAACTTGCCAAGAAAACCCCATGATAAGTTCACCTTATGGTTGCCATAAGTTAAATTGACTTGAAGGCATACAACAACAACAAGGCAATGATTTGGATCTAATCTGGACCTCTCCAAGTGAGCCATCTCAGTCTAAGCCTGACATTCGTATCTCTGTATTTAATTGGCCAGAGCAGAGAGCAGATGATCCATGGAAAGAAAGTACAGAGGTGTTACCTGAAATATTATTGACAGCTGGGATTTCAAGGAAGCATTTAGGAGGACTGGCCAGCTTTTGTCTATACCCTTTGGGGCATAAAGGAATAAGAAATGTTATTCTTTTACCTGCCTGGAGCATTGTAAAATCTTTTGATCCTTACTCCATAACTTTACAAACAATAATGCATCTTTCAAGTGGTCTAAGCATCCTTTCGCCCCAAATTCCTCATTTACGTATTTGCATCAACACGTCACTTTACAAAGAAAAACCAATAGTCATCCTTCTATAATGCAGTCCTTCTATAAAGGCAGTATTGGTAGCAAAGGCATGCCTTCATTTATAAGCTACCCAAATAATATTCCTGTCTCCTCGAAGGACTATGGGCTCCAGGCAGAACCATTTTCTAGGCCTGTGGCTCTGAATCCTTTTATTTCCCTGAGAATCCATGTTAGGAGTAATCAATCCAGATATAAACAGGCTCGCTTTAGACTTAATTGTAACAAAAACTTAGAAAACCTCTCTGATATGAGTAGAGGGGGAAGGACTGAGGACAGTTTGCAGAAAATTTGAGATTTCCCTTTGGTTCCAGTTAGTAATATTTAGTGCACTGACTAGACAACTCAAAGTCACCATTTTCCCTTTTTTGTTTTATCATGGAATATTACTGGGTGGCAGAATATGAATGCAGACCAGGAATTTGGGGGGGGGGGAAACTTTCATCATTTGCCATTTTATGTCTTCAGGAAACTTGTATATCAGTTATTTTTATTTCTATTTATGTATTTATTTATTTATTTATTTTCATTACAAGGATTTAGTTCCTTTTTGCTCCCTGCCACAAAATTTTACAAGAAGGGAAGAGCCAGGGGCAGCGCAAACACTGGATCTCGTATCAGAAGTAATTTATGTTTTGTCTGTATTGTTCAAAGATAACTAGGGGTCAGACATTGATGTTCTAAAGCACTTTTTCCCAAACTTTGGTCCTCCAGGTGTTGTGGACTTCTATTTCCAGAAGCCCTAGCCAGTTTGGCCAACAATTAGGAATTCTGGGAGCTGAAGTCCAAAACATCTGGAGGATCAAAGTTTGGGAAACACTGTTCTAATGTGTTTTAATGCATGTGTCAGAAACTGCCCACTCCTTTGGATTCAGTAAAGGAATCAGTCTTCTCTATTCCAATAGCAAAACTTTATTTCATTAACCCGTGAAGTTAACAGTAAGACTTCTGTGAACAGAACTACCATAATCCACAAACATATATGCAGAATAAGCAATGCTCCACTCTGTAAATTTATGGGCTTTATTTTGATTTATCTGTTCATAAGCCAAAATATACTTGCACCCTTTCTTGTTACCCACCCTTCTCATACACTTTCACTTTAGGGTCTCTCAAGTTCCCTACAAAGCTTTCCTTGATGGATTTCAGTACCAGTTGTCAGTGTGTGTAGATGATGGGTG